AGGCCTAGGCCCACTGGGGCTGTAGTGCCAAGGAAAAAGAAATTAACTTTGACTCTGAAGTTCTTGTAACAAGACAATTTCGAAAACAAATAACAGCCTCAAAATATGGATCCATATTGGTTACAAATACAGCATTTAGCAGGAAATAGCACTTGATGATGACCCATTACGGGTCGAAACACGTTGTGTCGATACACGACCTAAGTGTAAATAAGTCATTAGCATATTTTCATAGGTTGTTGTGTTGACTGAAAATACGAACTAAAGAAATTATTTACGACGCAACAGGATTCAACATATAAAGAGTATGAAAGGCCTATGTCAATAATTAATTGGAAAAGGCGTCGAAGAGAGAAGCTGTGGCCTACTTTAAGATCCTATTTCGACATTGTTGGCCTCTTGGCTTTGTTTTCGCTTGTTCCTTTGTTTCTATTGAGGTATTACATATCACAGACAGGAAAAAATATTTGTTCTTATTAATAAAACATTCATATTAGCAAAATATGGACTTACGTGACTTCATCTAAGCTCTCCCTTTAATAATTATGGCCAATATATGCTCATTTCCTTAAATACTGATCAAATCGGGACCTAATTAGCATCCCGAACCCAATTACTTGGTGCATTTCCTCGGATTCCCTGTGCAAGACTTGGATAGTGTTCCAAAAATCACTGCCTTTACGTTCCAAATTCACAGTTGTTTTAAGCGTATTATGCTTCGTAATCAGAACATTTCATTGTCGGCACTGGCAGCGTCGTTAAATGACCAACATAAAGAAGTGTATACGAATGAAAATTCGGGTATATGTGAACACGGGGGATTTCCGCAGTTTCGTTGTTTTGCAAATGGAATCATGAAGTCACGTGTACAAAGCAAATGTGTAGTAACAAGGAACATCGACAAAATAAAGTTCTTACCATGAAGAAGAGATGTTCTTGGGCGGTAAGGCTGCTAACGAACAAGTCATCCTGGTACATGAACCCTGACAGACGGTGCATATAATCACCAATGGGACGTCCGTTCACCCTTATGTCCCCGTCAACAATCACACCAGCTGGGAATGACACAAACACGCTATATCTCAAGCATAAGGAATGAGTCCAACAAATGATCTCAATACTCTTATCTAACCTGGGTTTCTATAGGCCAAGGCAGCCATGAGTGTACTCTTCCCAGCTCCACTTGCCCCTAGCATGGCTACCAAACTCCCAGGCTTCACTGCTCCTGTAACTTTAAAAATGAATGTGCAGATTGGGCTTGTAGAATAAATAAACTAAATTAAATTTCAAAATGTGTCACCTTGATACATTGAGCTTTTTTATATAAAACAAAAACCAACGAGTATGTTTCAAATTGGAACACACGTGCTCTTCAATTTTTTCCTTTGATGTTTTATATATGACGTTGTCTTTTATGTCAATTTACTGCTGAAAGAAATTCTGTAGCGCGACAGTCAAAACTCACTCTTTCTTCATAAAATGAAATGTGTGACCTCACTGCGTTGTACTTGTATCTGTTTCTCCGAAAAACAGTGAACTCCACTTTAACAGTCTTATTTATTGAAATGTAATTAAAAAAATAAAACAATATGTTACCGAGACAAAGGCTTGCAGATAGACACAGAAGGACTCTGTCTGAATAAACCCCTATACACCTCCAGACTGAAAGGAACCTGATTCACAGGCTCACAAAATATAAACCCCAAGAAATAGTGGAATAATATGTAGGACTACAAATTGTGTTGAAGAAGGCACGGAGTATCCACTCCTTTCAAATGATGAAATTCGAATAAAGTCCTACGTTATTTTCTTTTGCATTCGCGCACAACAAAATGGACATTTTCATAAATAAATAAAGTGGAGCGTAGTGTGTAATTCCACTATTTCACGGAATACCTAGGTACTTCATGCATTAACTGAATTTTTAAGTTAAAGTCGAAATGCAATTATTCGACCACAGATCACTGTTGTATATATGTACAGGTATTAAATGTATTCACTCACATAATTTGAAACATTAAAGTACTTAATCGACTCAGAATTGTTTATATATTTATTTGCTTCTTAATGATCGACGCTGTCAGTAGCTCAGTGAATATGGCTTCGAATGGTAGAATGGTCACGAATAATTTATTTCGAAGGATCTAGAAGTACGAGGGCTTTTCTTTTTTTATTGCTAGTGGGGTGGGACTAAGTCCGTTGTACTGCGGCCACTTCTGGCCTATTGTACCAGCCCCAGATGATAGGTGAGGGTGATTGTGGAGCATTTGGTGGAATGAAGATTGGCAGGGGAAAGCGAAGTACTCGGAGAAAACCTGCCTAAGCGCCACTTTATCCACCACAAATCCCACTTGGCCAGACACGGGACCGAACCCGGGCCGCCGCGGTGGGAAGCCAGCGACTAACCGCTTGAGCTATGACACAGCCAGTACGAGGTCTTAGTATGGTTTGAGTCACACCTGCAGAATTTGCCTGGAGAGACAGAAAAATCTGAGTTAGTACAAGTATGAAAATCGTCAAGGCTTAAACCAACTTGCATAAGCTGCACTTGTTGCCCAGATTTAGGATCCGTGTTGTGATGAACTTACTGGTCTGTGTCAGATGAGTGATTAATGATAGGGAAAACTAGAAGAAGTGTGAGAAAATTCTGCCCCATTACTACGGAGGTGTCCATAAGAATACGGATGGCCCCAGAAAATGTATGCACACCATTCCGCCGCCATTTTCTTTGACAGTACTGCGATTCGGTAACGGTGGCTCTGGCATTCGTGTTACTAGCACCATCTTTGGAGAGAATATGGCGCTACGCACTGTGCATTATATACCGGTTCAACTTTGTGGCTGTGTCAGCTGGTGTTCTCTATTAAATAGTATGCACATTGTTCTGGTCCTGTGTTATTTTGATCACCAAATATGAATTGCTTTGGAATCGAATCCGGGTCCTTTCTTATGGGGAGGCGGGACTTAAAAGTATCAACAACAGCACTAGTGAACCGTAGGTTACATAATACGCTTTTAATTATGTGCGCTCTTTTAGTTACACACCATCGTTAATTATTCTCTTGTAGGTTGGTTTAGTTCGTCTACAGAAACCGAGGTTTTCCTTGACGATCGTGTACACGCTCACGTCTCTCCAGGTGAGGGTGACTCCGTCTTCGGAAGGATCCCACCGCCCATAGCCACGCTCTGGTTTCCGTGTTATTCCCGCGGCCATAATCAGCAGAAATGTCTGTCGTAAACAATGGTTCAGCTTAAATGTATTCCTGCAATAAACTAGTTCAGGAGAAACATGATTTTTGAGCACGTAATAATAATTCAATTGACCAAGAAATTCCCTGTAGGATTTAAGGTTATCAAATTGGTGGTTATGAAAAGTGCTGTATTCTAGGATATAACAACGTGTATTCCGTTGAATGTCAACAGATGTTTCGGAAGAAGATATTGTCTACTTTTCAGGGTCGAAAAATAAGTCGACCAGAGCTGCTTGTCATTTGTTTTCACGTTGGTATCTTACTCGGCATATTTTCCTACCCTGAAGTTGGAGATGATATGTTCCTCAGAAACGTCGGCTGAATTTCAACGCACTACACCGCGTTATATTCTAGAAAAGAGTATTCACCAAGAAATCCCTTCTCTTTATTAAACCTGCAGGTTCGTTACATTTTACAAAATCAGCCAGTTGCCGATCTTATTTCATGCAATCCGTTGAATATCAACTGACGTTTCGGATGACCATTGTGCCTCCCAAAGGCCTGTTGAGTTTCAGCGGACACGTTCCACCTTAACGTCAACTAAATTTCACAGAACTATGTACAATCCCACAAGACAGAACTCTTAATAACCACCGCTGTGAGAATTTCAAACCTAACACAGTTAAAACAATTCCACATCTTTACCACATGCCCCTAAAACCTGTTTTAATACTATTCTTACGTCTGGATCTCCAAAGTGGTTTCTTCTTCTGAGATTTCCCTACTAAGTTGTGCGTAAGCCCACTTCTTTTTTCTCCCTGGGCGTTACATCTCCTGCCACATCCTTATGCTTAAGCACAATCCTATGAAGACGTGTGGGGAGTGGAGGTAAAGATCTACTTATTCTTAAGCTGTGTAGTAAGTACAGTTTCACGTGCCAGCCGAGTTACACCCGAGAAAACAGCACCAAGAGCCCAAAGTATAGGAGCCACGGCGGGCCCGAGGGATGGCCCAGGCCAATGTTTCTCAACCGCCAGGCCGCGACCCGGTACCTGGCCCTGGCATCAATTATACCGGGCCCTTGTCTTAGAGAAAAAATAATTTACCGGGCCGCGGTCTGACAAAGGTTGAGAAACACTGTTCTATGCGTGGTAGGAATAGAAACTGCTGCTTCTGCAGGAAATAGAAACCCAGTCGCCATCTCACGAAATGTCGCTTTACTGAACAGTCCACTCCCGACATTAGGATATTATTAAAAACGTTATATTCTCTTAGAATAGGAAGACGGAGTCCATTTAATAACAGAAAGTTCTGTCTAGGAATACAGACCATGTGGCAGGAGCAGATCATTCAGTAAAGCGACTGGCTACGAGACTGGGCACCAGGATTCTATTTTCTTGCATAAGTATAAATTGTTTTCTACTACCTTCATCTGCAGGGTAGAAGAGATAATAACACGGTAAAACAATTCAAAAGATCAAAATTAAACATTATCAAAATGAACTTACCCGAAACGCAGCTTCAATCTCAGTGCTATAAACTAAGACACTCGATTTATAACGCCTTACTAATAAATGATATTAGAACACAGGAAAGGCAATCGCTACGGTCAGCCTTCGATCGCAGTCTCGATTCCTACTGGGTCGTCTTTCTGTCCTAGCTTACGTAAGCTGCGAAACCTTTTCTGTGGGCAACTCAATGAAACCTCACAAGTCTCCCCTGCCCGAGCAACGACACAGCGAACCTCCGTCTCCCGACCGTCTCAATAACTATAATAAACACAAAACATGGAGGCGTAACTTGAGCCCTCGATAAACTTGTACCGTAAGTTGTGGTTCAGCGGTTGCCACACCTGCTGTATACGTGAGATCAGGGTTTCAGTTCTCATGACTAATGATTGCGAGTTGCTGATGACATGCCTCACCATCTCCATGTCTAAGCTGCAGACCTCCACACCTTTCTTCTTAATAAATTTTAAGTCATAAATATTGACACTTCATTCACGAAACCATTGGTACAATTCTGAGATATCCGGTTCTTATGATATAAATAAACAGAGTGTAAAGAAATATATGTTACAACGCTCTGTGGTAGACGGATGGGTTCAATCTGACCATATTTTGTTAATACACACACGTCAGGAAACGCTTTATTTACGCGCTAGGGTCTCTGAAATGTGAAACAGGACGCCTATAGGCAAGCAAACCATAGGACTCCAAAGTAGCAAAGGACGTCGCATTCATAGAATGAATTGTTTATTCCCCCCCCCCTGACTCTACAGCCCCAGTGGGCCTAGGCCTACCTCCATGAACTTCTCCGTTCACTTCGGTTTTTCTCGATCTTACACATACGGTAGGACTCCTTGGGCGAGTGATCAGCTCGTCGCAAGGCCTCTACCTGTACACAAACACAGAAAAACGCACCCAAACATCCATGCTCTTAGTGGGATTCGAACTCACGATGCCGGCTTCCGAACGAGCGAAAACAGTGCATGCGAATTGTTTATTTACCGATGCCAATACGTCAGATATCACGTACCTGACCTAACCTAAGAGTTTGTTTAGTAGTTTCTTCCTCGTCTGTGTGGTGATCGTAAATTGGGAATGAACTGTACACAAATATTGATGAAGTTATCATCTGCAATACGTAAAGAATATATTACCATTGTTACATTTTTATATTTAGATTTTTTACGTTTGTTTACTTCATTGTACTCATGTGTGCCCCTTGCTTATAGACTCCTCGTCCTGTCTGTGTGTTTGTGTTGTTCCGTGTATGTAGACCTTATTCACAAAGTTAACACCACGTCACACGCAGGGCGAGAAGCCTACAAGCAGGGAGGATGCATGATAACTATGACATCAAAAGGCAGTGAAGTGAAGTGGGATAAAGGGAAAGTCGTGGTGAAATGTGGACGCATCAGAATATGACATTACACATTCCAGTACTATTACTGTTTAGTGTATAGTGTACTTATTCTTTTATTAATATTAATTTATATAATTGTAGTTGTAATTGTATTTCTTCTAGTTGTAAGTGTATTATCATTGTATGTACTGTGTGCTAGTGTGTCCTTTGTTGTTGGTGTAGTTCTGTGTGCTATGTTTTGCCTGAGTGTGGTGTGTTATTTTATGTGATTGTGTTATTTTTGTGTTGTGTCTCATTGTAGCACCACTGCCACCGGGCAAAAACCAATTTGCAATTTAAATAAATAATAATATTTTGAGAGCTACACACACACACAAGCACCCATGCCCCATACAACACAGTGAAACCGTTCTTGGCAAAAGAACACCTGATGGTGGCCATATACGGCCAAAACCTGTTGTGAAAGTGAGAAGGAGAAGGGGGAAATAATTTACATTGTGGGCTGAGGCATAATTTGTGAATTTCTTCCTTCTTAGTGTTCAGATCGGCTCTGGCGCCCACGCAGGGCTGCTTCCCTGCGGTATAACGAGCAGAACGTGAAGCTAACCACTCACCTCTGTCTAGTGCCCGGATTAAGAATGCGTAAGTTCATACCTCCCATCGCCCACGTATCTTCATAAGCGCCGGGACAACTTTACCTCTTCTTACCTCTTCACCCAACCTCTATAAAATGTGAGTGTGTTTGCACACAAGACTTACGATTGTGTGAGGAGGCATTTTCTGTGAAATTAACAGAATAGGGTAAAAGTAGAAGTAAAAAGTAAAACTATCCCTGTAAAGGTTCGGCCACACAGAGCGCTACGTACGCTGTGTTCGCTATACGAACAGAAAAATATCTCCCTTTATTGCCAATGTGACTGGCCACACAGACTTCCGTACGCTACGTACGCTATGTTCCCTATGTTAGCTGCGTCGCAGAGTGTACGAGTACACAGCGTACGTAGTGTACGTAGCGCTCTGTGTGGCCGAACCTTAAGAGGCCATGAAGGCCCATAGGGTTGTGAGACGTTGAGGGTCCCACATTATCTAGACAATTGGCTCAAAGATGGCGGTAAGGTTAACAGAATAGGCTATATGACGAAAACAATATAAAGGAAAGATTTCAGATATAAATATTTTGATTCGATGTGAATATATTTAGGAAATGACTCCATTTTATTTTGTTCACTCTGTAAGAAAGCGGCGTTACAGAAGAATATATCGCATTTGAAGTGTGCTCACTGCTTTCGGAAAGTCTTCGACAGCAAGGCGAGGTAAGCAAACAGCCTGAAGACAAGTATGAGTGACACCAAACAGATGAGATCCCGTGAGAACTTGTCCTGAAGAAAGAACACATGTGATGCAATATTAATGGCAGCATAATCTATTCAAAGGGAGATATCGCATTAAATAGAAATGCTATTTCTTAGCTCAGGTTCAAAGCCTTAACTATTAAAAGCATTGAAATTAATGCCAATCTATACCTTAGTAGGTAAATTAAATGCCATTCAGATAATGATAGTTACAGAATGAAAACAACCAGTAAACACTTGAAGTTAAGGAAAAAGCCAAAGCATTATAGATATACGCATGTTGCTGTAAATTAATATAAACCAGTAATTATACAGAATTATCAGAACCAACGGCAAATATGATGAACCTCATGATGATAATCACGTCTACCGGTAATTATGAATAGTTACATAAGTTAACTAATTAAGCATTAAGCCATGAAGGCGTATGGGGGAGTGGGTGTATTTCTTTTTCTTCCTTGGCACTACAGCCCCAGTGGGCCTAGGCTACCTCCATGAACTTCTCCGTTCACTTCGGTTTATCTAGATCTTACACATTCGGTAGAACTCCTTGGGCGGGTGATCAGCTCGTCGCAAGGCCTCTACCTGTACNAAACTTTACGCACCTGCCGTTTTACCCCCGGGGGAAAGAACCTGCTGTATCCATCGGACAGGAGGCTGAATGGGCCTCACAACCAGTCTGGACGACGTAGAGAAGAGAAAATTATTGATACTACCGGGACTCGAACTCCGACGCGTAGGTCGTCCAACCTGTAGCCAGTCGCCATACCGGCTCCTTATGAATAGTTATAATCGTTAATTATTCATAATTACCGGAAAATTATTATTGTATTAGATATATCACATTTACAACTCATTTGCAATTCTAAATATTACCAGTGTTTTACCCAGTTATTTAGCTCTACCGCAACACATATTTATGAAACACAATCTTGACCAGTGTTTCAGACTGGTTCTGCCGTTGGGCTTCATGGCGTATTATTTCTTATGTTATACTGTAACCTAATAAAGGGAAGGGATCAGTTTGCAAACAAGAACTGGGACGAGTGACTGTGTCCAAAACATCAGCCAAAATGATTAATTCGTACTGTTTGTTCCAAACACGAAACTGCAAACTTCCCCTTAAATAACAAGCAAATTATGTTTCAGTAGTTCTGTGTAGACTATATTTATACATTTCATATCTTACTTCTCTGAAATTCAAGGCTTCGAGGACAACATGTCCGTTCTTGGGGCACGTGGTGTTGGAGTGCGTGCAGTCTATGTACTGGACGTCAGCCCACTGGTTGATCAAAAGGGCTTCATTACCGTACTTGAACCAAGACAAGTAACTAAGCCATGTCAGATAAGCCGGCACTGAACTGTAATGAAAGTACATAGTACAAAGGAAATTAAAATTTAAAAAAATTAATCAAATCACTTTACATTCACAGGCCTTCAGGGCTGTAATTATTCAGTTTGTGATCTTCTGGGTTGTGATATCGCTTACTCTTGTAGGTGGATACCAACGTTTCGGAGGAACATGCTGCCTTCTTCTTCGGGGTCGAACTGATTCATCGCTCGTATCGGCCCTGATAGGGTCTGAATGACGTCCTTCCCTCCAACCATCATATACACTTTAATTCGGAATATGGGGGCAAATTCCCTCTTAACGTTGGTATCCATCTGCAAGACTGTACGGGGTCACATCTCAGAAGACTATAATCTGAGTAACCCAAATAAAACATACAGCAATGGTGGATCCACTCACGTTGAGGGCATAATATATTAAATGTAACTAAAATCAGGACCTGAAGATGTCACACATGTGTCATTCTAAAGAGCACCTCTATTTGCTGGAAATGGAGTTGTGTTGACAAGAATAAAATAAATATTATATATTAGAGAGCAAAATATAAAATTAAATTGTTCCTTTCAGTAAACCACTAGCACTAATTGCTCGATAGAGGGCCATGCCATATTTTCACAATCATTTTTTGTTATTTATTTTATTTCGGATCTTTCACAGTCCTGCAACATTGAGATCTTACTCAGCAGAAAGGAAAGCATCAGGTGGTTACTCTCATTCCTCTCCTCGGAGGCCCGGGTTCAATCCTAGAGCAGTTCACATGTGATTTGTAGCAGACGAAATGGCATTAGGACAGATTTCTCTCCGAATACTTGGGATTTCCTCTTCATAACCCGGGATAGCTTAGTCGGTATAGCGACTGGCTACAGGCTGGACCCCCGAAGGTTCAGAGTTCGGGTAACGGTAAGGCCAAGAATTTTCTCTTCTCCGCAGCGTCCAGACCGGCTCTGTTGTCCACCCAACTTCCTATCAAATGGGTACCGGGGGCTCTTTCCCCGGGGGTATGGAGGCAGGGATGTGAAGCTGACCACTCACCTCCAACTAGTGCCCAGGTCAAGAAAACGTGAATCTATACATCCACTCCCCCAAACGCCTTCATGGCGTCGTGCTTAAGTAGTTAAGCAGAGGGACAACTTCACCTTTAACTTTTAGGAATAACTTCAGCTTTCTTTAAATTTACTTCGGTTATTCCACTGCCTGCCCATTCTCGCATTTATCATCTGGGGCTGGCAAAATAGGCCTTGAGAGTTCCATAAAAGACGTTTAATATTCGACTATATGAGCAACTATTGGTATACCTGGGATCCAACTCACGCCACAGTGGTGGGGAGCCGGGGACCAACCGTCAAATTTATGCCATGGCCTACCCTAACCTCAATTTTTGTGCTCTGATGTTAAGGTCCATGCGTTATGTTTTCAGGAAGCTCTTGATGGTATTTCTTCCGAGAAATCTTTCCGGTACTCACTGACCAGGAGATTAGGTGGACCCCGATTTGGTTCTAGATGACACAGGGTGTGGAAAATTTTCCCAAATGCCAGGTCTCGAACCACGATATCGCTGCTGTGTCTAATTACAGTTAACGTCAGTTCTCATGACATCATAATATAAAGATGAACATGGTGGCAGATACCTGTTATTCAGAAAGAAGCCTCCGAAGATTAGGAACGGGATAATGACTGGCGGACCAATCGCCAGAGCCATGGAGACACCGGTGCTTACACACGAGATGAGGTAACCTGCAAGACAAACGGAACGAGAACACATTGACGGAATGCACCACAACTGCACTCGTGACGTGCGGTGTTAATGGCGGTCCAGGTTCGTTAATGTTTTCTGAATGTCGAAGTGATAAAAACTAACGACGTCTCGGAGGAACTTACTGCCACTTTTACGCTACCAAGAATGTACTTTTGCCAGAACACGGTAATTTTTACCATTTAATATAACCAGAAATGGATAGTAGTGCCGTGACGCATACAGAATGAAATAATCTATATTTGCACCATCGGAGGCACGCGGTAGCTGTAGCTGTAGCTGTAGTTGTAGTTGTAGTTGTAGTTGTAGCGGTAGCTGTAGCTCTAGCTGTAGCGGTAGCGGTAGCTGTAGCTGTAGCGGTAGCTGTAGTTGTAGCGGTAGCGGTAGCTGTAGCTCTAGCTCTAGCTGTAGCGGTAGCTGTAGCTGTAGCTGTAGCTGTAGCGGTAGCGGTTGCGGTAGCTGTAGCTCTAGCTCTAGCTGTAGCTGTAGCGGTAGCTGTAGCGGTAGCGGTTGCGGTAGCTGTAGCTCTAGCTCTAGCTGTAGCTGTAGCGGTAGCTGTAGCGGTAGCGGTTGCGGTAGCTGTAGCTCTAGCTCTAGCTGTAGCTGTAGCGGTAGCTGTAGCGGTAGCGGTTGCGGTAGCTGTAGCTCTAGCTCTAGCGGTAGCGGTAGCTGATGAAATGATTAATGAAAGACCTGGAAAATATTTGGAAGTAGTGGTTCAAGGTCAAATCGACGTACTGACTTAGGATTCGCCTGGAAGGAATGAAGAAAACTGTGAAAGACCTCAGTCTAGGTAACCGGCGTCCTGTCAGAGATTCGAACCGAAAACCTACCCAGTACTTCTAGACCAACCTGTACGTTGGGGAGTTGTAAAATAGCTAAAAAGCATTAACATCCATTTATCTACACTTATACTTTGAGGTAATTCGTAACGCAACAGTTTTCAGCCGCAAGTTTAGTGTAGGTGGAATATGTTAGCCAGTTCTGATGAACATAGGTGTAATATGATAATCCCTGTTACCCGACCCCTCCAGAGATACCAAAGTGACTGACCGCACAAGTTTCCCTCGCTTCACAACGTATCGGCTTCCTACAGCACGCCTGCTCCCCGGTTTCCTTAACCTGCCTTTTATGGAGAACATCGGCTCAGCTCTAACAAGTCTAACGCCCATTCGGCTGGTCTCCATTTTGTATATCGGGTTTCCGAACTTGCCAGATTTTCCTCAGACCCTCCAAATTAGTGCAAAAATAGTCCTCTACGGTTTCATTTCTACCCCTTGGAGTCGCATATTTTATGGCAAATAGCATCTACCAACAGCATACATACAAAAAGATACTCCGTGGCCTGTAGTCCGCAAGCGAACTATACCGACCGAGCGACCGCCGCTTGTCGGAAAAGTTAGTGCCAACTTTTGCGGATAGAAAGTGTCACGTGGTCAGCGCAACGGATCCCCACTGCCGTTAATCTCGGTTTTCTAGACCGGAGCAGCTATTTCCTTCAAAAGGGCTCCTCAATTATCCTAACGAGGCTGAGTGGACCCCGTTCCAGACTCACTGCTTCTCAGAAAATTGGGTAGCGCCGGGAATCGAACCCGGGACCTCTGGATCTGTAGCCAGGAACACTGACCACTAGACCACAGAGGCGGTAAGTAGTATACAGTGTCGTTAAATAGTTAAATAGTTAAATAAAGAGTCACTGCCAGGGAACCTACCGAAAAAATCGGACACTGTCTATTGCATGTAAGTCATAGTACTTTAAGAGATGGCACAACCATTCAGCATTTTCGGCTTATTTTGGAATGTCTTATGCGTGTCGTTTAGTTTTCCCTCGCAAGCTTCCATTGCTCGTAATAACTCTGTGTTAATATTTAAAGGGTCACTATCTAGGAAATGTTCACGTACAAATTACATGTCCACTTCCTGTTTATCTCATCCGAACTACACGGCGTTCCACAGAAACTTATTGATTTAAATAACAGTATTCAGTCAATATAGTGACTAGACAACAGGCTGGACGACTGGGGAATTGGGATTCGACGCCCCGGAGGGGCACGAATTATTTTTCTTCTCGATAGTGTTCAGACCGGTTCTGAGGCCCACAAAGCTTGCTATCGAATAGGACTCAACCAACTACGCTACTGCGTGCCCCAATAAATAAGTAAATAAATAAATAAATAAAGAGGTAGGTTGGAATGTTGGTAAATAAATAATTAAATGCATTCTTAAGATCGGCACGAGAGGATTACAGCTGCTTACCGTCCAAGAAGGAGCCTCTATCACTTGCCGGACGGAAGCCAGAGCCGGTCTGGACGTGGTGGAAAAGCGAACATTCTCTCTCCTCGTGTCCCTGCCAGGGTCATGCAGCCCAACCACAGGCGCTGTACTGACTGAGCTATGATGCCAGAGTAAAATAATTAATTTTTAAACTTACCGAAAGAGACAGCTGCATTGGCTACTAGTATAACGACGCAGTTTGCGATCAAGAAGCGCAGGATATTGGGGTTGAGACCAACCATGTAGTAGGCGACACAAGTAAACATGGCGGGCAAGGCGGCGAACAGGGGCACCTCAGCCAGGGTCTTGCACAAGAAGTACACATCCACACGATACATACCGTTGTGATGTTCCTTCAGGAACACCGGCATCTCGGCGCAGAACACCTGCGCAAGGAATTCGAGCTCTAGCTTACGAGTTTCGATATCAGCACATCTCAAAAAGCCCAGCCACCTCACCACTTCTCTGACATGCTTGCGGAGCGTTACGCTCCGCTGCGAGGAAACAATGCAAATATGCTTACTTCTTACTTCCACGGACAGAAATCGGCCATAAATTTCGAAGCCACAATTTCGACATCGAGCACATTTTAAATTCCTGAACACCCCGTTGTAAGAAAGGCTGCATATCAAATAGGCCTATACGTAGATGGGTTTTTAGGCGCATTAGCTGCCAGGGTTATTTACACAGCTATATGTGTGTAAATTACAAAGAATATTACAAAATTTTAACTTACATGAATTAAAATTTCTCATCCCTCAAATGTAACCAAGCAAAAAGGAAGTGATTTCAGTGCTTACATTTATGACTGCAAATACATTCTGGAATGTCATGTTGGTCAGGAAAATAAAGAGAGCTCCGTTGATGTTCATGACGCCATCTTGATTCAAATCTTGGCCATAGTAAATCACACCAATCAGTACTGACACCATCTGCAAAAGTAAACTAAATGTGTCGAAGTGCACACGACAGATTATAATGAGGAGCTTCATAACTTGTACTCCTCGCCAAGTATAATTAGAATGATCAACTCGGGGAGGATGAGATAGACAAAGCATATAGCATGCATGAGTAGAAGAGGAAAGCCAAAAGGAAAGAGACCACTAGGAAGACTAAGACACAGGTGGGAGGATACTATTAAAATTGATCTTAGAGCGATAGGATGTAGTAGAATGCACTGGATTTATCTGGCTTAGGATAGGAAGAGTGAAGAGCTCTTGCGAACACGGAAATAAACCTTGGGATTCCATCAAATGTTGGGAAATTTTTGAGTACCTGAGCGACTGGTGGTTCCTCGAGGACTGTTCATGGAGTTAGTTAGTTAGTTAGTTAGTTAGTTAGTTATATGAGTTAGTTGCTCAGGCGGTTAGTTGCTGGTTTCCCACAGCGGCGGTCAGGGTTCGAACCCGTGTATGGTCATGTGTCATTCTTGGTGGACAAAGTGGTGTTGGGACAGGTTTTCTCCGAGTACTCCGGTTTCCCCTGCCAATCTTTATTCCATCAATTTCTCCCCAATCACCATCATCTATCATCTGGGTCTGATAAAATAGGCCGCAGTACCAAGCGGACTCAGTCTCACCCAAATAAGAATAATAATAATAGTTAGCTAGTTAAATAGTTAGTTAGTTAGTTAGTTAGTTAGTTAGTTAGTTAGGTAGTTCATAACAGACAACTGACACTTCATTCCGAGCAAGTTAGTATAAGGGCAATACTCTGTAATTCTATTCAGGAGGTAACCAGTTTGAATTTTGTCGCGTCTACAGGCGAACCTCATTGAGGATCCCATGTTTTTCTTCGCTGTGCTGAGGTCAATTATGGTATATTACACTTAAATGGGCCATGATCACCTCCTTCCAAATCCTCAATTTATTCATTCATCAATGGCTGTACAGCCCTTTGTTAGGTTCTGACCTCTTCTTCAGTTTCGTGATCTCTTTTATACAGACGGTAGAACTGCCTGGACGAGTGACTTTCAAATTCTTACCTACTCACTATTCCTAATGTAATTCTTCTCACTCGATCCTTTATACAGGACACGTCGAATTCATTATTGCGTAAGAGTCACTTTTAAATAATAAATGTTTCAAGCTGGCCACAATTTCTTTTCGTCTACCTGGCGACTTTGGCTGCTAACATCTGTAGACAGGATACGAGCAATAGTTTATAAATAACCTGCATTTATTTACTGCAACAATTACTCTTTTTGAAATCCACGTTTTTACCACTTCTGACACAAAATGTAGCAGTCGATCTGGGGCCACTCTTGGTTCGTATTCGGAAAGTCCCGATTTCGAATTTCGGACTCGAGACAGCACACACAGACCGAGATTATTCGTAAGTTTCTTCTGTCCCTGTAGCCAAATACTGAAGTAGTGCCTTAAATTAAGAGAAGATGACTCTTTTTCACATTCTTTCCAATTACTCACTAATCATTCTATCTTATCTATAAGCATCCTTAAATAAAGCAATAATAAATCAATCTAAATCACTACTAGCTTAACACTCAAAAGTGAAGGCTAACATTTGTAATTACTTTCTCTATCCTATCATTCAAGTAGCTTTTTTCTCGGAGACTGCACAGTGCACTTGCACTCAGCTTAGGGATATTGGGTTCCAGTTCCTGTGCCGACAGTAGCTCACCACTGATGACAAGAGCGCGTCCGTCTCTTCGTCTGAAGTGTTCACGAGTCTCCTTCCTTTCATGGGCGAAAAGAGTTGTTCGCGCATGTTCTGCCGATACACAAACTTGCTCACTTCTAATAGTAAAGTAAAAGCATCACACACCCCACGCACGTACACACACACACACACACACACACACACACGCTGTACGGGTTCAGAAAACTACTTGCACTTTCCTTACTCAAGCTGTTGAGGCAGGGCTTACCAGTGTCTGAAGAATTCGCACTTTAATGAGGAGGGGTTCTTTTATGATACTAATCCATGAACGCCAAAATACGGCCCTCAGCTGAGCCCACCATGAGGCCTTATATGGGGATCGATGGACGTCAAGGGCTTGCGAATATTCTCCCTTAGAATCCCTCGGAGTGGACCATCCTGATGTCGAAGGTCCAGTCTGCAATTATAGGTCTAAGTAGAAAGTTATCGTTTAAAAATAAGTGTACCTGAAGAGTTACATCGTCTGGGATAACCATGTGTTGTCCGTTGAGAACGTTTCGATGGAACATACATTCGTCTGCAGGGGTGATTTATAGGGCAAGCAAGAAACCAGCATGAAGCAGACGGCAAGTAGAGCTTGCTCGGTTGATTTCTAACGAACTACTCAGCGTTATATCGCAGTGTATTCATAACTACAGCTGTGAGAACCTCAGTTCATACAGGGGTAAATGAACATTCCACTCATAACATCAAAAGATCGTATGTTCAGCATTAGACGGGTAGCACTCAAATCTTCATGCCTGTTTGGGATTTTTCTTTCTAAGACTTACGTAAAGCGTTGCCGGAAACTTCCCAGTATTGAGAAAGCAAAACACAAGTGTAAGGGGGCAAGATACAGGTACTTCTCTGATCAATTTTCGCAGCAGGCCGCGTCATAGCTCAAGCGGTTAGTCCCTGGCTTCCCACCGCGGCGGCCCGGGTTCGATCCCAGGTCTGGTCAAGTGGGATTTGTGATAGACAAAGTGGCGCTGGAGCGGGTTTTCTCCGAGTACTTCGGTTTCGCCTGCCAATCTTCATTTCACCAAATTCTCCATCATCTTAATCACCCAGGGCAGGTACAATAGGACAATCAGTGGCCGCCGTGCCCAGTGGACCCAGCTGGACTCCACCTCCCCCCCCCACTAGCGAATTAAAAAAAATAAAATTTCGCAGAATGTTTCGAAAAGTGTTTTTTTCGATCTATATCTGAGACGTTAAAAACAGGTGGGGCCATCGAAAAACCAGAATACAACTGAGTGAAAATAATATATGATTCCGTAACAGTAATTCGCCAACTTGTCACGTGTAACAACTTGGCGCATGAAAAAAACTAAATCAGCTAAGCAGATTTCGTCTTTTGAAGCTAACACTGTCCGACACTACCTGCCTTATAGGCAACCTATTCAGCACAGAGACCACTCTGTCGCAATGACCTTGAATAATATAACTCGTCAATACTTTCTCTCTCTCTGTCATTTTCCCATCATGTTAACATTACGGGGAACCGGGATAGCACAGTCGGTATAGCGTCTGTCTACGGACTGGATAACCGAGGGGTCGGAGTTCGAGTCCCCGTGAGGTCAATAATTTTCTCTTCTCCACATCGCCCAGGCCGGCTCTGCTTACCGCCTATCCAATGGGTACCGGAGGCTCTTTCCTTGGAAATAAAGCGGCTGAAACTAACCACTCACCAACTACTGGTGAGGTCAAGAAAACGTGGAACTATATATCCACTCCTCCATATGTCTTCGTTGTGTGGTGCTTAATTAATTAAACACATGGACAACTTTGCATTTATCACGTTGATATGACAGTTATTGGATGTTTTACTTCTAAATAATAATGAAAAAGCGCCTATTATATAATTTCTTGTTTGTCGCCATATCAACTGCAAATACATGTATCATGTAAAAGGTTAAAGTAAAGTTGTCCCTGTGCTTAACTAATTAAGCACTACGCCGTGAAGGCGTATGGGGAAGTGGATGTATAGACCTATATTTTCTTGGCTTCGGCTCCAGTTCCAGGTGAGTGGTCAGCTTCAAGCCAGAGCCTTGGGAAAGGACTCCCGGTACCCAACGGATAGGAGGTTGGGTGGGCCCCAGAGCCGGTCTGGACGACATGGAGAAGAGAAAATTCTTGACCTTACCGTTACTCGAACTCCGAACCCGGATAATAACTCCTGCGATGATATGAATTCTATATCAGGACGAGAGGGTGGAGGTCATGATTGATTAAAAATTTCAACTGGATGAACTGAAAGTCATGTAAACCCTCGGTTCGTCTTGCAACTGTGTACGTCCAGGGCGCGGACGAGACACATCACAGTTGAGACTTATTTTAAGGTTTCATGCCATTGCATCCCATAGCGTTATTTATGATATACCGTCACCGAAGAGAGATGAAGTGACAGGTGTTTGAAGAAAACTACGTAATGAGGAGCTTCATAATTTGTACTCTTCTCCAAGTATAATTAGAATAAACAAGTCGAGGGATGAGGTGGACAGTGCATGTAGCACGAATGGGGGTGGAGGAGGAGGAGGAGGAGGAGAAGAAGAAGAAGAAGAATGCATATAGGATATTGGTGGGAAAGCCAAAAGGAAAGAGATCACTGGAAAGACCAAGGCGTGAGTGGGTGAATAATATAAAATAAATCTTAGACAGATAGTATGGGATGGCATGGATTAGATTGATCTGGCTCAGGATAGGGAGCAGTGGAAGACCCTTGTGAACACGGTAATGAACCTTCGGGTTTCGTAAAATACTGGGAGATTCTTGAGTAGCTGCAGAATTTGCGGCTCCTCAAGAAGGGCTCAGCTCCATGAGTACAACACATATAGTTTAGCTGTTTACCCGACATATTTCGACATCGACAATGTCATCTTCAGCGGTATCTGTTTTCATGTTATCAAATAAACATTAGGTCAAGGCTATTGTCGGTGGTTGTGCATGCTTTTGAACATTTCAGATGCTTAAATTTTTTTTTGGCGATAACAGTCTTGTACATAAACACATGAAATATTACAAATGTGGTTGCATATATTTCTAAATGTTTGTTGCTTACGCAAACTATTGTTGTTACCTGGCTTTGCAGTTCGACTTCCGCGACAATTCTTTGCCCGGCCTCTGACGTCACGAAAGAGTCGCACACCATTTCAATGGTCTGACGGCAAGCTTCCTCCCGCGTCGGAATGATGGCCAGCAGCTGGATGAAGAAATCTGCGGGGTTGTAATTGCTGGGGCATGCANTGAAACTGAATAATCACACATAGCGCCTTGATAACTAATGTGTGCAGTTATCATATTACATTGTAGCATCCTGTTGCACTTTTCTCTTAGTGTCGATTGGTTGTTTTACAGTGTCGCGTGCAACACTATGATTTATAAAACTGATTAAAAGTTACTCACTTTAAAAGTTTAAATGTAATACAGTATGCGCCAAATTATTCAGTACTGAAATGAAAAGACGTCCTCTTGATACCACTGTCTATTCATGTGAAGGCCCCTTGCACGACAGAACCTTCTCAAATCCTGAAGAAATGGTCCGATCACCATGTCCCTGTAGTGTTCTTGGGTGACGATAAGAACATTGCCTTCCTCATCCTCAATGAAATAGGGGCCCAATATACAGTGTGCTGAGACGGCACACCATAGCGTCACACGTGTGCTGTGTAGCGGTTTCTGGACGCTAACATCTGGCCGCTCAAAACCAATGAAGCGAGTTGCCTGGCGACCACTTCCGTATGAGCGGAAATAATACTCAACTATGAATACTTTTTCCTTCGCCAAGAGACCCATTTCCAACAACAACTGCACAACACAACTTCCTTTTCACTACTGGGAACACATGCGGCTGGAGCTATGCCCCGTCGACAAACGTACATGCGCGTTAGAGGTGCGCGATTTTCAATACTGAATATTTTTGGGCATACTGTATTTCAAATTATGTTTCTAACGTTAATTCTGTAACTCTGGGAACAGAGTAAATAGTAAGACATCGCTAGAACCGAACACTGTAACTGGACACTATTCCGAGAAATATGTATCCACTTTCATTGCCGCAACTTTCCTCCAAATTATGTATTTTAATGTTATCCTACCATCTCTTTCGCAGTCTCCCCAGTAGGCGATTTCCAAGAGATACCTTATCAAAGTTCTTTATAAATTCACTCTCTTCACATCTTAGCTACATGCCCAATCCATCATATCTTTAATGACTTTATTTTAATATCTTCCCCTCTTCTTCTCGTCTTCCGAGTGAACGTTTAACAGGAGATTCCACATCAAAGTTCTCTAAACATTCCTTCTATTCATATCCTTGCTACAAGCCCAGTCCATCGTATTTCCCTCGATTTCACTATGCTAAAACACGGATCCCCTCGTTACGCAATGCGCTATATCAGATGAACTTAATTGCTTCGTTCTACAGAAATCGAACAAATCTCTTCGTCTTACTGTTTGAAGAAGTTACAAGCGTCCTCTGAAGATCCCAAGAAGGCCACTCGTCCTTCGGCCATCAGCAGCAGCTTATCGAACATGGCGAAAACGTCAGAAGAGGGTTGGTGGATGGTGACCACCACCGTCTTTCCTTTAAGCGCCATGTCCTTGAGGACGGACACCACGTTCTGTGCCATGAAGGAGTCTAAGCCTGACGTTGGCTCGTCGCAGAACATGAGTGGCGGGTCGGTAAGCACCTGGCGATCACAACAACCACGTCACAGTCCTGAAGCTGGAAACCTCTCCTCAGGAGCTGACAGTGTCTTTCTGCATCAGTATGTGGTGTGCCCATGAAATTATGAATGACAGGGAAAGCCTAAATACCAAAATGAGTCCCTGTGCTTAATTAACAACCACGCCATGAAGACGTATGGTGGAATGGAGGTCTAAATCTACGCGTTGTAACCTTGGTACTATGTGGAGGTGTCTGTTTCACGCCCCAGGGGAAAGAGTCTATCTCGTCCAACCCATACCCCAGTCACGATACAAACCAAAATTCTATGGGTAAAAAATGCCTCATTGTTGTTATGTGCATAAGAAATCCAAAATGGACCACCCAGCGAGTGAACCCAGGTCTCTGTGATAAGAAGATGGCGTCGTGGAAGAACATACAATATAATTGTTACTAGTAATGTATATTTTAGCCGGTCACAGTAGTCGAGCGTCTAAGGCATACACTGTCTTCGCTCGCTTGAAAGCCGAGATCGTGGGTTCGAATCCCACTCAGGGCATGGATGTTTGTGTGCGTTTTTCTGTCTTTGTCTACAGGGAGTCCTACCGTATGTGTAAGATCTAGAAAAACCGAAGTGAACGGAAGTTCATGGAGGTAGGTCTAGGCCCACTGGGGCTGTAGTGCCAAGGAAAGAAATGTATATTTTAAGGTAAGCATGATGCGGGCTTGTGAATTTTGTTTAATTACTTAAAGAGGAATTGTAGTTTTAAGTAACATATCTGCCTTAACCTTTAGCAACTCAGCATTTCACCCTCAGATTATACGTACGTAAGAACATCTTTTCATCCTCAGAATGTACAGTGACTGTTTCCTTCAATGTGATTAACCGACAGATTACTGAAAAAAAAATCCATATATTTTCTTGGAGGTATAAACTGGACACTGGTTATGTGCAGCTGACACCCATTCTAGTAATGATTTACAAACATTTAGCGATTTACATTCATTAAAATAAGAAATAGAAATTCAAATCTCACGCAAACCAAACTCATCGCCCCCCACACCGCTCTGGGATAACTGACCTCACGGGGCAGAATCCTTCTCAAGAAACCGCCAGTCGCTCCGTTACCCAAGAATTTCCCAACATTTTTTGGAACCCGAAAATCATCACCTTGTTCGTAAATTCAGCTACTGATCCCTATCCTGAGCCAGATCAATCCAGTCCGCACCATTCCCTCATATTTTTCTAAGATAATTTTAATATTATGCTCCCACTTACATTTAGTCTTCGTAGTTGTCTCTCTCCTCCTGACTTTCCCACCGAAACCCTATTTGCATTCTTCTTCTCTCCCATGCATGCTCCATGCCTTACCCACCTCATCCTCCTTGAATTGATCATTCTAATTATATTTGGCAAAGAGCGCAAGTTACAAAACTCTTCCTTGTGAAGTCGTCTGTAGCCTCCTACTATGTCAACCTTTTGGGTCCACGTATTCTCCTCAGGACCCTGTTCTATAACAGGTTTAATCTATGTTCTTCCCTTAACGTCGGAGCCCAACTTCCACACCCATACAAAACTACAGGCAAACACCACTCTGAGATAGTGATAAATGTTTAGACTTCGAGGCTTAAAACTTTGAAATCATACCTATATGTGACCATTTCAATTTTAGATCATTCTCTTAATATCGTGCTTCACTTACCTCAGATGCAAATGACAATCTCTTCATTTCTCCTCCTGAAATGCCCTTGATTCTTCCTTGAACTCCTATTACAGTGTGTTGACATTTCTTTAGAGCAAGCTGCAAGATATAACATTCTTGTTCATTGACAGACAAATCAGCAGATGCATTAGAACGACGATTAGAAAGCCGACATTTTGGGGTAAGTGTCTTCCGGCGATGCATGCCCACACGAACAGACAAGGTTCAACAATGCTAACACCAAAGACCTCCGTTTGATGTGATCCGAAACTAGTCTCATCCACCTCACACCGATACAATTCATTTCCTTAAGATTATCTTAATGTTATCCTCTCATGTCCTTCTCGGTCTTCTAAATGGTTCTTTCTCAAGATATTTACTCACCAAAATTGAGTCTACACTTCTTGTCACCCGGTCCTAACTGCAAGCCCCTTTCTCCAAGATTTTACTATCACTGCAATATCAAGTATTGAACTGAAATCCATAGAGCCGAGTCCTTCTTAAGAGGCCGCCAGACGCTCTAACATTTTATGGGTCTTCAGTCGACGCCTTCTGCACAGTTTCACGGTATGGTACTTAGACACCGGGACAGTTTTACCTTTAACCTTTACAATGTATGACATCTTACCTCTGAAATAACTTCATCAACCCGAGATATTCTCCTTCTGTATGGAATGTTTTTGTCCATTCTCACTAGAGCCTGAAATAAAATCAAAACGTCGACGTTATTTTCTGCAATAATTGAAACTGCAGATGCAATGTCCAATTTTCATTCATGATGAAATCGTGGGAATTCTGTAACCTACGGAGGTATACAAAATCACAGGGCCACCAACATTTGATAATGATTCTTCTTTAATGTACGGGAAATTACTGACTGTGGCACCACAATTCCGCCTGCTCTGACAGCTGGAACCGACCCATGACTACCTGGAAGATGAGATGCTCTCGTACTGTTAGCGTCCCAATGAAGAGGTCGTGTTGTTGCACGTAGGCCGACAGACCGGCCAGAGTGCTGGAACTCACTGGCACGCCGTTCAGAGTCCGCCGTCCGCTGACCTGCAGACTAGGCGACGAGCGGAACATCAGCGTGTTCAGGAGCGTCGTCTTCCCGGCGCCACTGGCCCCCATGATGGCCAGCAGCTCTCCAGGGTACGCCACTCCACTCACTGCCAATGAGAACGAACTCTTGGAGAGACAGGTGAAAAATAATAACATGAGGGATTGTAAATCGCCACTGTAATCTTACAAGGTATAAAATCTGACGGCTCATGAAGACTTCCCGGCCAGTGAACCACGATTTACTATTTGAAGCACGCCTGAGAATAATTACTTTGTAACCTTCTATTTTGTAACAACATGTAGTCTCGTGGATGGTTTCCTACGCTGTGAAGGCAGATGAGATGAAGAAAGAAGGTTCCACCGAATCTTTGGTAATCACCCAAATGGCTATAGAATGTTACAAACTGCATAATCAAAACCCACATCTTGCTATCATAAATTTAAATCTATCCTTTCATTTAGAGCAACTAATTTATACTAATGACATATCCTTTGGTGCCAGGGTAGCGTAGTCGGTATAGCGACTGGCTAGGGGCTGGACAACTGAGAGACCGTAGTTCGTGTCACGATAGGGTCAAGATTTTCTCTTCCCGACGTCGTTCAGACCGGCTCTGGGGTCCACCCAACCTCCTATCCAATGGGAACCGGGGTCTCTTTCCAAGCGGTTAAAGCGGCAGAGGCGTGAAGCTGGCCATTCACCTCTAGCTAGTGCCGAGGTCAAGAAAATATGGATACATACATCCACTCACCCATACGCCTTCATGACGTAGTGCTTAATTCGTTGAGCACGGGGACAACTTTACCATTTACTAATTATATAGCCATATTATTTATTCCGGAGGTCCCGTGATCGTAACCAACCGTCAAAGCTGCGCTAAATTGTATGTTTTGTGATTTTCTTCATATTTTCCAGACACCTACCAGAATAATTACTTTAAACAGAATAAAAATTCTTCTGTCCACATTTTCTGAAAAAAAAAAAAGAAAAAAAAAAGACCATGATTTATTTAATCCGTCTTGCAGTGCATACACTCATTTATTTCCTTCTCTCCCTCGCACTACATGTTTCTATAACATTAGAAAAAAAAAAGAATTATAATGACCCTGCCTTTCGACTCTGTATAAGCTGCGAAGTTGACAAAGCGTCATTAAAAACTGAAACATATAGTACACAGGTAGGCTACATGAGTAGCCTTCGGAGGAAATAAATAGGTCATGAGTGTGCACAAAGAAAAATCACCGTTTTTGAGGATATGTTTTCCTTCCTGCTCTGTTGTGGACCCGAGACGTGGTAGGCACCAGATCCAACGTCTCCTCAGCGTCTTCGCTGAGGCGTGGGCGTTAATGTTCCCCCACGCATAAGTGATACGGTCCGTGGAGAAAACGGGAGTTCCGGATGGATCATTTCCTTTTCCATCACCGCCGCTGCGGGTGTCCATGCAGAGCACTGTCTCGCAATCCTCACCAGGAGAGCAGCTGGACGTGCGCTCCTGGAACACGACAAAGCTGTGTGCTGTTTACGATTATATCTGTCTTACGTAGGATTTACCCATCACAGTGGCCGTGCCGTCTAACGCACGAACTGTCTTAGCTCGCTCGAATACTGGAATCGTGGGTTCGAATCCCATTTGAGGCATGGATGTCTGTGTGCGTTTATTCTGTGTTTGTGTGTGGGTAGCAGCCTTGCGACGAGCTGATCCTTCGTCCAATGAGTCCTACAGACTATGTATAGAATTGAGAAACTGAAGTGAAACGAAGAGTTTTACGCATGCCCCATGCTGCAAACAGAGCAACAGGAGTATGAATGAATGCATGAATATAAAGGTATAAGATTTCAGATTCTCAGAGCTGTGGCTATGAAGACGTATACTTTCTGGAATAAAACATGGTGTAGTCCGACGTTTCGGAAGAACATGTCGCCTCCAGAACTCTGCTTGCTACCTGCTCCATGACGGTTTCCTGTTTGCCTTATTCTTCAACCCTAAAAATGGAGGCGACGTGTTCTTCCGAAGCGTCGGTTGACTTTCAACGGACTGCATGGCATTTTATCTCACAGGACAGGACTCTTTATATCTTTTTTGTAACCTAATCGGCGCATTCATTTTATTTGGTAAGTCTATGGGACTTGGTAGTCATAAGCATCCGTCTATTTATTTAGATGTCGACGATAACAATAAGCGTCATGTTCTCTTCACTACATGCTGGATACAGACCTGTGTTTATTTACTCACTCACTCTTGGAGCTGAGCCCTTCTTGCGAAGCCGCAAATTGTGCAGCTACTCAAGAATTTCCCAGCACTTTATGGAACCGGAAGGTTCATTACCGTGTACAGATGAGCCCTCCACTGGTCCCTATCCTGAGCAAGATCAATGCAATCCATACCATCCCATCCTATCTCTCTACGTTCATTTACAAAATTAATAAATCGAGCAAAAGGATCATCACATACGACTGGCTCAGTGACAAGAATCATACACTCACAGACGAATATGCCATAAAATATTTAATTTCTTAGCAGCATGCCAACCGGACAAGTTGCTGTAATGTTGGATCTGAGATTCTCATATCGGTCACTATGAAGCATACTGGCCTCCTTGGGGTAACGGCATAGAAGCTGGCAGAATTTTAAGCTTGCGCTTGCTTCTTGCTGGCTACTTGTTTGGACTATTGTTCGACCCTGAAGAAGGAGGCAGTACGCTTCTCCGGAACGCTGGTGACGTTCTACCGGACTACACGTGGTTAAAACCCTGAAGTTCGCAGTCTTCAGGCTGGTGGACCTGAAGATGGAGGAGGTATGTTACTCCGAAACGTTGGTAAACTTCTACCGGAGTATACGCGGTTACATCCCAGAAGTTCATAGTCTTCAGGTTGGTGGACCGCATTCGGGAGGTACCCGGTTCAAATCTCTTCAAAATTACTAGCTGTTTTGATGAATGTATCGGAGATGTTTTCACTTCATGCGAATTATGGGACATTTCCTTCAAGTAGGTCACAATCACCTCCTTATCTACTGACTATTCATGATCATTTTCTCATATCTGCAGATACTGAATACTCTCTTTATTGCTAAACGCGTAGTTGGGTAATTTAAGGTCAATCCCATATAATTTTGCGCCTGAAATACAATGTAATGTAGTCTTATACACTCACAACATCGTCTGTCCTTTGCATGTGCAAACAAAGAGCCATATTGCTTTCTGCTTCAGTAACAGTGATGCCGAGCAGTTCATGTAAACAGTCCCTGGAAAGTGACACTGCTTCTTACATAGATACTTGGAAGTAAATAAACAACTTGAGACTTTTATCAGGCGCCAACATCAGACCGTCCCTCTTCAAATTAATCCCGAGGCCAAAACACCCTCAGTGTCGAAGCCTTCGCCGAGAAATATTTCAACAGAAATTGTTGATCTTAATTAGATACATAATTTATGCTACTCTCTTCTCTGATGAGTTATTTTAAAGAAAACTACAGAATCCTTATAGGGTCTGCTTTGTAGATACTAATTACATAATTACAATTTAATTCACCTGGAAAATTATAGAGTATAAGGAGATCCTTACGCAGATTTCACGTTAACGTGAATTATTATGACCTTTTCTTTTTTTGCATTAATTCCTCGCCACAAAAGGCCAACATTTTTCTCTTGATTTAAGAGTGTGTGCCGTCATTTTCAAGACTTCTTAAGAGCTTCGTGAAGAATCCTGAAGTCATTTAAAGAAACATATGAATCTCGGAAGAAGTGTCTCCGACATGCGAGTGCATGGGAGGTTACTGACCTCATGGAGAATACCCCGTCTTGAAAATCTAATTATCGCTTAGTCAGGAAAGTCCTCATTTTTATTGGACTTGACGTGTCTTAGTGTGCTCGCAAGTGCCCAGGAAAATCGAAGTCACCGTATAGCATTTCGTAACATGGGGGTATTTTAGTGCGAGGCACTGTGAGCTCTCAACACACACCTCGAAATGGCGCCCTCTGTGACCTGGCGACAGTTTGCTCCACTCACAACTTGAGGGTGCCAGTTAGGCGGAATTGGCAACCCCGAATGAGGTTCCCGCCGTTTTCAACGTACTCTCACGCCGAATGCTGGGATAATACCTAGAAAACAACCATATCTACTCCCTTAATTATTTTTGAGATTATATATTCACAGATATTATCCAATCGCATAAGATGTTTCATATTCTACGAAGCTCTGTAAACTCGTAAAATAATTTACGAACTAATCCATCAAGAAATTATTTCTAGGTGGCCTAACGTAGCTAGAATTTTGTGGTTCTCTTCAAAATGAAGCAGCATTGCGCAAAAGCCCACCTTCCCCAGTTGTGCCTGTGGTTGAATAAACGCATACTATGTAAACAAGGCTAACAGAAACATTGTTCGAAATAGACATAAACAGTAAAATCTCAAGAAATGACTTAAATTCAGTTCCTAATTTTTTGCTTGCCTACTCAACTCCCAAAGGCCAATTCTAAATTAAGCACCATCAAAAGGTGAAACACTTCGCAATACTACTAATAATAATAATTACTCTTTGTTATTATTTGAGTTGCATAATAGATGAGAAAGAAATTATTGCACATTGAAGATGTACTTGTATCCGTATAGTCTAAAATGAGGAGAGGTAATTTGTTTTAACTTCGTTGGAGCAACTGCAGACAATGATCTCTACATAGCGAAAATGTGTCGAAGCATATTGGTAACAAGGCGATCACAGTGGCCGCGCGTTCTACACGAACTATCTTCGTCCGCTCGAACACTGGGGTCGTGGGTTCGAATCCCTCTCAAGGCATGGATGTATGTGTGTGCGTTTATTCTGTATTTGTGTTGTTCTGTGTGTAGGTAGGGGCCTTGCGTCGGGCTCATTCCCCGTCAAAAGAGTCCTACCGACTGTGTATGGATGAAGAAACTGAAAAAGCGGCCAATGTCCGAAGGGCTGTAGAACCTTAGATAAATAGTTATCACTAAAAATGTTAATGAGCGAGTTACTGCAACGCAAAGGTATACGAATACACGCTGTACGTGTAACACTCTTATGTTCCTAAATGTTCATTTCTGTTGCAATACTATATATTCTCGTTTATTTAACCACTCACTGAACTGCGTATTATTTCTTCATTTAAGAAATAGTATCAATTACACTTACAGATATTATGTAACGCCGGAAGCTGTTTTAATACGTATAACCATTCTCTTTGAGTTTTCCAAAGAGGAATGCAATTTCGTAAGAAGAACAGAATGAATGAACGAATGAATGAAGTTCACATAACATTCTGTTACATAAATCTTATTCATTAATTAACTCCACGGAACAGAGACCTTAGTGAGCAGATAAGTGACGCTGAGCTAGTCAGGTCTTTTATGGAACTCTATAAAGATCATTATCGTGTTCACGGGATACCGAGATTGGCCCTTATCCAGAACCAGACGAATTAAGTCCACTATATTATCATTATTATTATTATTATTACTATTTTAACTGGCACCGATGCCAGCACCAAGTTTACCATTCGAAACAATTTTGGAACTGATTTTGTGGAATGGCCTTCAGAGCTGCCGTCGTATTACTCCTGATGTCACCAGTGTCATCAAAATGTTTACATTTAAATATTTATTTTACCTTCGAGAACAGAAAAAAAGACAACATAGGCTAAATCCGGCGAATATGGAGGGTGTTCAGCACAGTTATTTGTTTACTAGCTAAAAACTTCCTCACAGACAGTGCCATCTAAGCAGGTCCTCTGGAACCATTTTTCGCACACACCTTCCTCATATCAAGATCTTCAGTTAAGATTTTCGTTACTGCTTCTGTGTCGATGTTCGCTTTCTCTGCTATGCTCCTAACAGTCAGTCGACGACTTTAACACATAATTTGACGAACTTTTGCAATGTTTTCTTCAGTTCTGCTCGTTGCTGGGCCTCCCGACCTTTCTTCGTCAGGGACACTTTCTCTTCCCCAAGAAAAACGTGTCACCCACCTGTAGACCACTGATTTTCTCATAGCATTAACCCCGTAGTCTTGCACTAACATCTCTCTGATTTCGCTTCCACTCTTGCCAAGTTTAACAAGAAAATTAATATTCATTCTTTGCTCGAATTCAAGCTCCGACATTCTCACGATGGCGCACCAAAACACACTAAGACAATAATAGACGCCAGTCAGAAAGAGACTGTCATAGATCAACAACAACACAGCTGTGAAACGCTGATATACCAACGTCATCAAACCATACTGTTGTTCCTGTCCGCTGCTGTCACGGCAAGCACACGGTGTCGAGTTCGCGAACTTTACTGTCAGACCAAGTACAACGAAAATACACTTACAGCTACAATAAATACAATTACAACTACAATATATAAAATAACATTAATTAAAGATAAGCATACTATACACTAAATAATAACGGTAATGAAATACGAAATGTCATGAACTGATGCACACATTTCACCATGGCCTTCACTTCATTCCACTTCACTACGCTTACGTACCCTTCACATCCTCGCCACAATTTACTTCACTTCACTTCACTGCATGTTTGGATGATTTCTCCCACACCTTCACTTCGCCTTCTTTATCACTGTCCTGACCCTTTTCCTACATTACTTGGTTTACAGGAGAGAGTCCCTAAAGCATCTGCAGGTGGTTGGTTCCAGAGCTGGAGGGTTCTATTTACAAAATATATATATATTAAGAACCATTTAATATTACTCTACCATTTGTCTCCAGGTCTGCTATGTGGGTATTTTCCTTCTGGTTTTCCGGCTAAAATATTGCACGTAATTCGTGTCTTTCCCATATGTTCTACAAGCCCGCTCACTTCATCGTCTTTGATCACGAAACCTTCACGTAACACTGACTCTCAGGAGTAGGTGGCTTCTATTGCAGGCAGTATTTCCCTGTTACCATGATATGTTGTTTAAATTATGGTCTTCAGATTTTGCTGTCAGCTACAAAACGGCAATGCAAACAAGGAATCTCATTGGTGCTTTGGAAAAAGGAATATATTTCCCCAGTGCCATTTCAACTTCTGAAGTTCTGTAAAGAATAGACTAATAAAATGTTCCTACGGTAACATGGTAAGCGAAACGTAGGGAAATTACATTTTTGTTATTCAAGGTGATTCTAAATTATTGTCGGGGTTTCCGTGGCCTATAATTTTCAAACTCGGGGGAAAAAATGAAACTGCTTATGGAATTTTGAAGTGTAACTCAAAACATTTTATCACTTATTGAAACAATACTGCAGAATGCTAAACAACTTCAACATGCGTGGCTTTCGTGACAAGTAAGGTTTGAAAATTATAGGCCACGGAAACCCCGACAATAATTTAGAATCACTCTGTACATGAGTATCTCCGGGTTTGAGGCCTAGCGTTAACTGACAGGAAGTTTACATCCGATATACAAATTTCTCCTTTCGGATCTCATACTCCTATATCTACGTTCTAGAACTGCAGAAAAACTCTCTTAATGATAAACTACTGAGACTGTCCATCTGTTTCGAGACTTGGAATTTCTAAAGTGGATACGCAGTAGACTTGGTAGAGTCCATTCATTGATATGACTGCAGAGTTTGTATGGTTTAGTACAGGGTCCCAGTCATATGCGTCACCAGCCCTCATACTCATAGTTAAACTACAACCACTACCCCGCTTCTGCTTACCATACTTATAGTCAGGTCTCCTCATGCACAACCCAGAGACAATGTCTAGAAACACGTCTACAGACATAAAGGCACTCTAAGCTCAAACAAAAATCTACGTGACGAACACATAAAAATAAACAAACGGTTTGACTGATAGTTTCCTTGCGCAAGTGATTACAAACATAACAGTAACGAACGAACTCCATGGATTGAGAAGCTAACAGTCGCTCAGCTACTCGAGAATTAACCAACATTTTATGGAACCCGAAGGTTTTATCACGGTGTTCACAAGAGTCTGACAGCTGTTCCTATCCCGAGCCACATGAATCCAGTCCATAACACCACATCCTATTTCTCTGAGATATATTTTAACACTATCCTCCCACCTACGTCTAGGTCTAGTGGTTGAGCCAGTACTTACGGAAAATACAACAATTTTTTGTGTGCAGGCAAACACTTTCCAGAAGATATGAACTGCAGAACCGCGAAATTCAACCTTACTTACGTATGTAATAGAGTTATATGAGGCTATTCGATATCCTGAACTTCCGCCCAAGAGAAATTCCTGTTCATTTTCTTCACTTTTCGTCATCATGAAATAAATCTGTCTCTTCAACCTTCACGCTCTTCACACTGAAGTCTACCACACAGTCACAAAACAATCCACATAAAACAAAAAGTTACACCGTGACCCCTTATTCACAGATTAAGTTAGATATACTCTCTCTATACTGAAATGCATATATTGCTTGATAACTGTAAACAATACTGAATGAGAAAACTGTCTCCGAGCACTATATTTTCATCTGGTTTCGACCCACTTATTTTATTACGCAGGATGGTGAACACAACTGATGAAAGGTCACGAGACGATGGATTCAAGAAGTGGTCTAATTAGAGGCTGAGGTGGTTATTATGCAAGGCAGCCTTCTACCTTACTGACATATTATCTTGCGGACTAACATGGCTTCGTAAACCAAAGACCTCAGCACTGTAAAGATACGGTACTGTTTACTTCTTAGTACGCAGAGGCGAGTAAGGGCTGTCCGAGAACAGGTTCAGCGGGTGGTTTTGTGAACTATCTTTATTGTTTGCATCCTCTTGCATATTACTATGTACTGTAGTATTGTTATACGGCCGTCAACACAACAAATTCGTGATAAATAAATCAATGCTTCTGTATTAACATTCGTTTATTACGTTAGCTTGTTATATGTTCCGACCCTGCTGGATCATCATCAGGTAATTTTCATGAACTGCAGTATACGCCACTTTGGTCTAGTGGTCAGAGTTCCTGACTACAGATCTAGAGGTCCCGGGTTCGATTCCCGGCGCTACCATATTATCTGAGAAGTAGTGGGTCTGGAACGGGGTCCATTATTTCAGGGAAATAGTAGTTCCGGTCTAGAAAACTCTTGAAGAATTTTATTTCCTGAGATATAGCGCCAAATTTTCATGTCTGTAGCATGCATGAAAATCGGAGCACATAAAGTTAAGACCGCTTGGGAGACCATGGGAGAAACAGAGAGATTATTGGTGGGCTCTTGTGAAGTTTCAGGTTCCATAAAAGGCAGATAAATTCTTGACTAATTGAGAGACTGTTAGCTTCTCAAAAGGGGCTCCGCTTTGTGAAGTTAGTTAAAATGCTTCCAATTATAAAAATTATTACCATAAATCACATAAGATACAACACTTATTGTATGACAATTATATAACTGTTAATTACGACCACAAAATTCGACACGAATTCAAGGCTACTTAAAATTCAAATAGCGTTAAGAATGAAATATAAAGGACTATTGTAAGAAGTGGAATAGAAAACTGGGGTTCGCCGGAAACAGAGATTGATATTACTTCCAAACCAGTTCTGGGGTTCATCACTCCCCTATTCACTGGGTACCCTGTGTTATTTTCTTTAGGATAAAGTGGACGGACATGAAGCTGTCCATTCACCTCCATCCATTACCTAGATTAAGAACCAGTGGAACTATACCTCCAGAACTTCAAATATTTTCAAGGCATAGTATTGAAAAGCCCAGGATAGATTTTACGTATGTGGCAGAATTTCTTGATATGAATTTCACAGGACGAAAAGGGCCTATACATGAATAGGCCCATTGGATTCTACAGAGAATGAATTTTAAGTAGGTATCAGTTCATTCAAATTCTATTTAATTAAACCTCACATGCGTTCATGAATTCCCGGCAAAAAGTAAGGTAAAGCTGTACCTGTAACAGGCCGTGAAGGCCCATAGACTTGTGAGGCGTCGAGGCTGCCACGTTTTGTCTAGACAGTCGGTTCACAGATGGCGCTAAGATTGTCAGCCTTACAAGCCGGCCGCCCTTTACCTCCCAGGAAGATTCCTGGTATTCATTTGTGTTAGAGACTGAGTCGAACTCAGTGCCGTACTGCGACTGAAAGGATTAGTTCAACTGAAAAATCCACCTCATCGGTACTCGAACCCGTGACCTTCCGGCTTGTAGCATACTGCCTCAACCAACTACGCTACAGCGTGCTTCTTGCGAAAAGTAAACAAATCAGAACAACATTTTCAGATGCAAAAGAACACTGCTCTCGGTTCTCCAGTGTGCCGCCCATTAACTTCCATTCTTTTGCATAAGCTATGAGTGTCAGGACCTAATCTCAAGAGCAAACGTCCTGAAGATGCTGGCCTACCGTGCGACGGACATCTGAACACGGTTATGAGACGGCAATCGATGTTGACAAGGAAGTCCCAGTGACGTACGAACAGTATTTCATACAGAGTTTAAAGGTAAGCATCTGAACTATTCACATATCAATTTTTACATGTGTAGCTACAATGGTACATCAGTTATCGTTATGAAATACAAAGCTAAATACAGATTTCATACAGCCGCCATGTTGTTTTACATTCTACAAAAGACTGCACATGTCCTACACGTACACTGTTCAAAGATCTGGTAGGATACATAATTTTATTAATCCTGTATTAAATGGTGCCAGTGTTGCTAGCACCTCACAAACCATTATAAACTGTAGGGAATTAAATATTATTAAGGTGAGATAACCTCCAATGGCATAACGTTATCGAGGTTTAAGAATATCAGTCAAATGGTTCACAGGTCAAAAAGTTCAAAGGGGTACAGACAAATAAAAGGGAAGGTGACCTCAGAAGCTTACATTCCTAGATGAAGTAAGGGAACTAGGATAAGTATATCCTTTTCCAGAAATGTAGAGACAGATCAATTCTGAGATGTGAGTCCGTGTTGTCTGCTGGATAGCAACCGACATTTCGGACGAATTTGTTGTCTCTACTTTCAGGGATGGAGACAGTGCTTTCATTAGACATATCGGTAGCTATCTACTAGACTACATACAGCCGTACCCCAAAACAGTAATCGTCAGTCACAGCCGCAAGAAACCCAAATTTTGCAATATGAGCCTACATAGATGGAAATTTGTTGCAGCAATAATGGATATTGGGTCAGACTCGGAGATTGTGTACTGTATCTCGCACATACAAGTGTATCTCTTTGCCGTTCATATGACAGTCCCATCAGACCTTAGTGTCAATAAAATTCCTCGGGATTTTTACCGTCAGAATTTATTGCCTGTTGTATATGTCGCTGTCGTCAGACGTGACAGCACTAATGTGTTTAATGGGACATAAAATGGCGCTAAAAATTACCCTAGCTGTGAAAGTTATAGATCCTACGGGATTCTTGCGATATCTAACGTCAGAATTCATTACTTATTGCATAAGTTACCATTGTCGTACATAGGTGGCAGCGCTAGTACGAACACGTGAAGACGAGTGGGTAAAATGGCAAGTTGTTTTTTTTTTTACTGAATAATGTGATGTTATACTTTGGGATAAATATTAGAATAACTGTTTCCGTAACACATAATTAAATTATATAAATTTGTGACATTGTTGAAGGCAATTACGACTGTGAGTGTTGTGGTGTGTTGCATTATCCGCAATTCTTCCAAACTGAGACACGGCTGTCAGACCCAGAAGAAACTAAAATGTGAAGGAGAACGAGGTACGAACATCATTGAAACTATTTCGTTACTACAATTATTGTACAGTGTTAGTAAACGTATATTTTAATTTAAACTAATTGTTTAGCTTACATACAGACAAAAATATATAATTTAGAATGTTCAGTTGCCCCTTCTCTTCTGTAACATTCATAAGGAAGTGATTCAATTTTACACTCGTTAAGAACAGAAATAACTTGCTACAGTGCTGAGCTGCATTTTGTCAGCAACCGGTCATTAGCCATGCAGCCCCTAAACATAAATTACCAATTGACTTAATATTTAAAGCAGTAGTTTTCATAACCTTGAAACACTAATTTTGCCAGAAACGACTACCACTGAATACAACTGTAGTGGAGATTTATGTATTTCGATCCCCACTCTATTTAAATAGCAGCCAAGGACGCCTGCAAAGCAGACAATTGTTTAGACTACACTATACATCCTCTGTGCTGTTTTATCTCATTGTGATCATTATCATTTGCAGCCATGTAACAAAAGTTTTATTTTGTACTAGGAACAACAGTGAACTTGTGAACTGAGAATTCTCTGTAGAACTTTAAGAGCTTACTTTGCTACTTGCAGACTTTAGTCCCACATATTATATTCTTGTTAATATCCCATCTAATTTAACATAGATTTAGAATCAACAATAAAATGGAATTTAATTCACGGGTTTACAGGGTGGATCCGCACACTAGGAATCATATAATGGAGACATAGCCAAGCAAATTCCTTTGTTGCATGAAATTGTAAATATGTTTGTTAATAATATTGTTATTATTATGAATTTGTTTATTTTTTGGAAGGGCACATTATATAAGTACAGAATGTATAGATACTAAATGTGTCAAACAGTACCTAAGAATTCTAGTTCCTTGGTTTTCGCAGCTGGAGCTTAATGTGTGGTTTCCCTGCCGGGATAGCTCAGTCAGTATAGGGATGAGCTATGGGCTGAAAGGCCAGGGTTCGATTCTTTACCACAACGTTCAGACTGACGCTGGGGCCCATCCAGCCCACTATTGAGTGGGTACACGGGGATGAACCGGCCGGGGCGTGAAGCAGACTAGTCACCTCCACATAGTGTCTAGGTCAAGAACTGTGCAGCTATACCTCCCCCCTCCCATATGTCTTGACGGTGTAGTGCTTAAGCACTCGGACAACTTTACCTTTTAACGTTTACCTTCTTCACTCGGGAAAAAGGTCGCGCCGAATATCGAGGGTTTTATAACGTTTCGACAAACCATGCAGTTGCCATCTTTAGGGTTAATGACTTGGATGGGTTTTGCTAGCTCTTTCTACCACGTACATCTCTTGTCATGGCCACCAGGTGACCAGAATATTTTCGGTCCTATCTTTCATTAACCAGTGATCGCTGAAACAGTGCTCATAGTTATCTTTTCATTGACCACGTGGTTGCTCCCTATTGGTTAGCATCTAGCTCCTCTCTTCCTCCAATCACGGCAGCAGTCCGGTACACTACTTAATGCAAGCGTTACATAAAAGCTGTTAAATCCCTTCTAAAGTCATTTCAAGGTACATATTCCGAAACGCGGCGTATTCCCGGAAGCCAAAGCCATGCACAAACTCAGAATATTTACCATCACAATGTTTGGAATTGTTGACTTGTAATCAACATTTCATATTGAATTTGAGGTATGTTTATGAATACCACATTTGAGATATGTAGCTCCAGTGGCTTATTATAGGTCACTAAGTCGCAATCAGATCGAAAGCGAAATATCTGTGCCATGCAATTGGCGTGTTGTGGCCTTACATTCCATTAAGAACTAATTTCATAACAGTTGCACATTTTTCTTTTACCGTCTATTACCGCAC